TAACTTCTTTAAATTATGTGCAACTGTATCATTACAAAACTCCTCGTATGAGAAAGTGGACGAGTAAGAAAAGTAGAGGGCAAAGACCAAATTACTTGTAACAGTGTACAGTGTGCATACTTTTTGGACTAGCACTAACTTAACTGTTGTACCGGTGGTACATTTTTGTTTGTCAATAATTATCACATGAAATATACTACAGCATGATCAACTAAAGTTTGCAGAAAAGTGATGTTATTTTTGAACACCGAGTTGTACTTTATGTGCTGTAAAAAAAAAAAAAAGGTTTGAAATCTAATGTGTGGATCGAATATCGCCAAAAAAAACTGTGAAAAACCTAATAGTATGCCTTGGGCGACACGTTGATTTGCATCTCAACAATTACTGTTTAACTGTATTGTAGTTAAGTTTCTTTATATTTAAATTGAAATCTTGCAGCCCATTCCAGCTTTTCTGTCCATGCACAATGGGTATTCACTATGGCCTAAATTTATTATGACCTTAGAATCTTCTCATTTACTGCTAAAATCCTTCTCTTCTGTTTAAGCAGATGTTTTTTTGTTTTTGTTTTGTTATTGATGATGATGGTTCTTGGCAAAAACAGAAAAACAAAATGTTTGGGGGGAGGAGGGTGTCATTTAAATTAATATTGCGCATTTTTCTCACCAACTATAATATTGGTGAATAACTGGAAGTATTTATCATTGTAGGTGTGGGATATTAAAGACCAAACTTGTATGTTAACAATCCGACCTAAATCACATAAAATACGAGGTGACATCCAGGCCTGTCATTACAATAGAGTATCACGAAGTCTTGCAATTGCCACAGATTTAATGGCTCTATTGTCACAAAGAGTCAAGTAAGTACAATCTATCCATGTTTAGGCTATTCATGCTTGATATCTTGATACAGTTCTCCGGTTAGATGTGCAAGTATTTCACAACATCAATTTTCATTCCATGGTTATAATTATGTATATAAAAACTATAAATATATTCAGGACAAGACTGATTTAGTTTTACTATGTTTTTCCATTCTTTTTAAGAATATTTTTGCCCCCAAATTGCAAGCGCTAACTGTATACCATCTTTTTATCACAAACATTTATTTCATGGTTGCGGTATAGTTGCATTCCATGTTTTGGACTACATGGCTAGGTTATATGTGACCATCTTCCTATCAAAATGAAATTATTACAATTTATTTATCAAGCACCTGTGTGACAAAGTTTTTCAATGTTGCATCCTTTTTTTCAAAAGTAGTCAACAGGTTGTTTTTGACACTTGGTATAACACTGGTAAAGAGTGACTATATAGTCACCTGATATGAAATATTGTACAGTATAAAACAGTTGATATAGCCTTCTGTTTGTTTATGCAATTTTACATTTTAATAATGTATGTTTATTTGTTTATTTATAGACCCCAGCAACATGCAGATATTGTAATAACTCATAAAGAACCAGTGCAGTGCTGTAAATACAATCCTAGTTTCAAACAAGTCGTCACATGTTCCGAAGGATCAGTAAGTCAATATTTTTGCACCAATCATGACATGTACAACACATGCAAAATACTTTTTACATAAAATTTAAAAATTTTGGCACTGAAATTAAACTTGATTTGAAAATCAAAACTTTACTGACAATTTGTTTTTAGCCTTTCTGAGTCATCGTTAGATTACCAATAGTGATCCATATTACTGTCTTATTGTCATTTTATTTTGACCTTTGTGCAGGCGGTGAAGTTATGGGAGTTTGAGACTGGTAAACCAGTATTTGAATTCTCTCAAGCACATGGTGATAGTGCTATCACTGCAATGATTTTTGACAACACTGGAAGAAGACTAATCACTGGAGGAAGAGATGGAAAACTAAAAATATGGAATTATAATAATGGACACTGCCTTAAAACACTAGAAAAAGGTATTAATTGACCCAAGATTTATTTCTTATTGAAATTCATAGTAATAGCACCTCCTTTCTAGTAGCAATATCTCTATTTGGTTACTATCAAGTACCACTTTGCAATTTTTTGTCATCTTCTTCAAAAATAGCTTTATCAAGATATTGATCAAATTTATCAATATTTGATCAATCTAAAAGAAATTTTATAATCTTTCAGTTAAGTCTTTGTTAATTATTGAATAGATAGAATTATTATGCAGATTTATTTTGTGACTAGTGCAAAAAAGTATTTTGAAATATAGTCTTGATGTTATTGAGCTTCAGAGTCTTTTTGAAAACGGGGATTAATGGCTGATTTTGTTTTAATTAATGCTGTTCTAGAGCAATATCTCTCAATGTGGACAAGTACTCGTTTGATGATCAGATACAAATGTCAATCATTTTAATGTTAAACAATCATCATAATCATATTCCTGACTATATTGCTATAAAAATAATTATCGCATATATCTTAAATTCGATAACTGACAGGGACTGTGCCGTGCAGGGCTTGTCAAATGTACTTTATTCCCATAACTGAGTAATAATAATAATAATAATAATAATAATAACTTTATTGCATCCTTAGAAATACAATGTTTCTATCAGTTAATAGCGATAAAGATTAGTTGTGATAACTACAAAAAGAAAGTTAGTTGTTAAAAAGATAAAGCAAGTGTTACATATCAAATGGCATTTTCATTTCTTGATTGAAATGCATTATGAATATAGTTGCCAATCTTTTTTTATTATGTATTGAGTATGTATTGAAGTTGATTTCTTGATAGAAAATAAGTTAATTTTGGAATATAAATTTTTACAATTTGCATATTATGATATATTCTTAATTTTTATTGCAGAAAATAGTAATGAAGAAGTTACAAGTGTGACTTATGTTGAGATGAATCGTAATCGATACATTGTATCAGTTGGTTGGGACAGAAGAATTAACATATTTACTGACACCAGTGAAGACTTCCATCATGTACAGAAACCATTAGCAAAATGGACAGATGATTTGGTAAATATGCCTTAATTGCCGTATTTGTCTTCAGTTAAGCACCACCTATAAAAAAAATCATGCCGTTTTCTTATCAAAATCAAAGCCAAAACATCGAACTACAACATCGGCAAATCTCTTCCGTGTTGTGTTCATTACATATAAATGAGTATGATAATCATCCAGCATTTTGATTGGTTAATTATTGACTTGACCTATCAGGTCAAAGAACATCGTTTTAGGTCAGGAAAAAAGATGGCAGATATCGTATCACATCAAGTGTGTACGTGCGACTGGAAACTAACAATAACATAACAATTCAACAAATTTATTTTTTGTATGTTACTATAATCACTACTCTAATCGTAATGACTAAATTTCGCTACCATGATCATTTGCTACTAAGCAATGCATTTGTGATTGTTTATTTTTTCTTTGATCTACAGCAAGCTGTGAATGATACTTTTTGTATAACTTTCTAGACTCTCTGGAAACGCGCATAAATAATTAGTATTTAAAATATAAAGGCTACAGTGTCAGACTGTAATGTAAAATATTACCAATAAGTTGATACAATGTATCACCAGAATGGAGCATTGATATGAAACAAAGTAGCTCAAATTTAACCACAAATGAAATGAAAGTGTAACAAACAATTAACTTAGGGAAGAGTAGGAAGTCAAAAGTGGTTGGAGTGCACTGCAACAAGACAATAATAACTAGGTTGCTATAGTACCATAATTACTTTGAAATTTATCTTCTAAATGTTTTTTAATTGTATGTGTGACCACTTTGAGGTGGCAACAGAATAAAAAAGTTAAAAGTTGAGCTATGATTCAGACATTTTCTAAGCAGTCTATTATAACAACCTATACATATTCTGAAAGCTCAGATTTAGCTCAGATTGACTACTGATTATTAAAAAAATGATTTTTAACATTTTCAGTCATATGAATGACATGCGAATTGCACAGGACAGTTTGTGTTACCCTAAGCTAGACGATCACATCTCAGTTTCTTTTTATCTGCTTTTGTTTTCAAGCTATGAAAAAACAACTACAGACATGCAACCAACAATTCGTTGTGCCAATCAAATAATGGTTAATAAAGTCACAGTTTCATGCTAGCAAAGGGTATCACTATTAATAATTAGCATATTGAAAAAATGTTAATTGACCTGTTATTAAATTTAATCTTTTTTTTCGTCTAAAATCTTGAAAGCCTTTAAGTAGAACACTGTATTCATATGAAAATATCTGCTTACAACTTGTTTCAATCTGTGTTGAAAACGTGCGCAAAATAGTCATTTTGGCGCACGTTTTCGACACTGCTTATCAGCCACCTCAAGTGCCAAATCCATGAAATAAACAGCCAATGTCAATAGAGTAGCCTAGGTGTTAAAAATGGATTAAGTACTGGCAAACCAACTTCTCTAAACGCATGCTTTTTAGTTGATTTAGTCATCTTTTTTGAACTCAGAAGCCCTCAAATAATAATATTACATGTGCGAATGAAACAAATCCATCGAGATTTCACGTTTTTCCCGTAAAAGTGATGCTGGCTGTTCCCTCTCTGGACTCCCTCCCCGTGTATACTAGTACTACCAACTCCTACCATGGTCTAATTTGGTGACTCATGTCAAGCTATAAATGGGCATCAGTACTCATTTCGGCCAATCTCTCGCTTTTATCGCATTTTAATCAACCACATATCGCTTAATTTCCTACCGGAAAACGACCATATTTTTATCCCTTTCTTTTCTCACTCGCTTATTAAAAACACTGGCCACTTGTCCAAACTCTGATCACTGGCACACGAGTTGTCGAAATGGTTGTTTTAGTGCTAAAGTTTGAGGATTCAACGAGTATTAACTATTATTTAATTTCGAACGACACTTCTAATCCATCCATCCAATCGGTTGCAAAAGCGAGTGAAGAAAATGATCGAAAAGCAGAAGCGAGCAGGGGGTTGGTTGAAATTAGTGTTGTACATTCAGGTCCTTTGTAAAAATACGATCGGCCAAGATATCATTCTGAAGCACGCCAGAGACATAAAAAATGCAGTTTTGAATATTGACACCGTTCGTATTTTTTAAATAAGCCAAAACAAAAAAAATTGTATGCTGCTTAAGTGATGATCGATCGAAACAGACTCAATTTGCAAGTTTTAACGGCTAGTTCTGTTGAAGATATAAAACTTTATTTTCGGAGTTATTACCGAAGACAATGTACGACAGCCAAAAAAACAACAACATTTGGTTATGTGAAATTGATTAGCATTCATGTAGGTCCAATCAGTACTGTTGTATCGTCTATTTTGTCAACCGAACGTTACAACCTGGACTTGCTCGTCGATTATTATTGAAAATGTCATTTCTTGCTCCCTGGTCAATGAATCCAGAATCAATTGGGTATAAGTATGTTATTTTAGAATGATTTTCATTTGGTTTCACATGATAGTTAATCTGATTCATCATATAGCATTACAAACAGGAAGTCCTCGGCATGGGTCAGAGTACTAGTATACCCCAGACCACTCGTTTTGATGAATGGTCTGGGTGTGGCTTGTGGGTAAGAATAGAAAATGGATTTTTAAGAGGTTGTGATTATTTGGATTTTTGAGAACTGATTTTTACTATTGAATTGAAATTATCACGTCTAGGGGTGAATTGTTAATAGGTGAAGTGACACGCAACACGCAACAACAACGGATTCTTTTTCAACACAGATCTCAACTCAAGAGTTTGGACGTAACCCCAGAGTTAAACAGGGCCCAAATTGACAGGGAGTAAAACACATAATTGGAAGAGCTGTCCATGCATTGACCAATCACACAAGAGCGCACAGACACCAACAAAATATTTGTTGTTGTACCTAACAAAGGGGTTTGGCACTAAAAGCAATGGAACGTTTATAGGCTTAACGTTGGATTTAGATCGTGTTATAATCCAAATCCCCTAGAAAGAGTTGTAAGCACAAATTTTCATATGTTCATGCATTGTTATCTGTTATCTATTAATAGCAAAATGGTCACAAAGAAGACATTTTATCTGTAGCATCATGTGAGCCAAATCTACTGGCTACGTCAAGTTATGACGGTGAAGTTATCGTATGGAATATGATATCAGGTCATATATATTGTCACTTGCTTTCAAGACAACCTGTGGATTATAATCACACATCATGTAAGCTTTCTTTTCCTTGTTTTAAGCACAGTACATCTAAATCTCATTATTAGGTCAAAACAAAAATTGTTTTGTTGCCCCCAGCAACCAACCGTAAAATATGAAATATCGGGTCTCTTTTTTTTTTCTTTCTTTTTTTAATAGGCCCGAATATTAAAAAATGACCATTTTAAACAGTAAAAAAGTGTATATCTTCTTCTGACTTATTTTTACATTTTGAGATTCTTGTAGACAACCTTTGGATCTTTTATATTAATCAGTTATGAAATAACTTTTGAATTTATATGAATACCTTTAATTATTTCCTTTTTTTTCTGATGTGTATCCAATTCTAGAATTTTGATACAGTGCCCTCAATGGCAAGACCAAAATGTTGGGTATCTTCTCAGGATACTGCCCTCAATGGTGGAAGTGAATCATTATATTATGCTTCTTTAGGTCAATACTTCTCTTAGTAATATTGTTTTTAATTTGTTTATTTTTTAGTGGATGGTGATAATAGTATTTGTAAATTAATATTTCTTGAACCCAGGGTCAATAATAAGCAATGTGCACAATTAGTAGCGAGTGGACCACGTGGTGAGTATTACTGTCAATTGTTTATCCAACATTATTGTTCCTCTTTGTCTAAAAAACTGTATTTTTGTTATATACCGGTACTCTAAATGACATAATTATAAGTTATTGCATCACAGATGCATATGCATATAGATGAACTTCCAGCAGATTTCATTATTTCTTTTAGAAATAGATGCCAAACTAGATGTGTGCACTGAAAAGTATACACAGATGCTGTCGGTTCATGGAACACTTATCGAGAAACTGTAATATTGCGTATGCTCAATTTAAATACCGATAGCACTGCAATTTATTTGATCATGACTGTTTATGACATAACTTGTATGATTTTGAAAAATGTTGAATTGATCTGAAGCAAATAACTCCTCATGTTGATTTACAGTTCGGATATACCTGTGCAAGTAATTGAATGTCAGGGAAACAAAGTTATACAATACTGTTCCAAATGTGATACGGTTTGCGCTATTCAGATTTTAACCATTTCAGATTACCGTATTTTATGTTTGATTGCTTGTTGAATGTCAGCTAGAGTATGCCAAGTTGTTAATCTCCGTAGTGATATAACGAACAAATAATTCAGGTCACACAGTGGAAATACTTTCTGTATTTGATGAGGAGTCCAATAATTGATTCATATTTTCACATGTGTATGATACTGGGGGTAGTTGTATGCGTATATTATATGGTAATTTTATATGGTTTTTAACTGTCTTCTGAATTGATTGCGCTGCAGATTCAGATTCACCCGCACTGATTTGGTTGATGATAAATTATATTAAAATGTGTTATGTTACCGTAGTTGATAATACTAATAAATCTATTATTATAATAATCTTCCCAGAATGCAACTAAACCCTATGTTATGTTAATTTCAGGTTGTATTCACTTTTGGAATATCTATCATGGTGGTACACTTTATTCTCAGTTTCATAGTGTAAGTTATTTGTGCTCTATGGATAACCTAAGTACTCTTGTTTTCACATTACCCTAACTGATTGCTGAAAGTTGTCTGATTATAGATGTACTTTCTGTATTAGTACATTTTTGCAAGACCAAAAAAATTTATCAAAAACAGCAAAAACAAAAGAGGGAAAAAAGGCAATTCATTTTGAATTTACAACAAATCTGTAAATATTTGCTTTTTAATGTTGATTTATTTATTTATAGTGTCGTGATGGTAAAGCCTCAGTAAGTGCAATGGCTGTCAATAAAGACTGTACAATGCTGTTTATGGCGGATACTATTGGTATGTTAATTATCTTAAATCAACTAATCAATGTACAATAAATAGCATATTTAAAGT